GGGGTTGCGTAAAGGTGGGGAGAGGGGGGAGGCTGGAGCACACTTGAGCCCAGCCACTGCAACAATGGGATGAGCCCACACGCTTCAGGGTCACCGAGAACATAAGAACAGACGGGGTCAGACCAGTCCAGCCCAGTGTCCTGCCTGCCCCCAGTGGCCACAGACGGGGTCAGACCAGTCCAGCCCAGTGTCCTGCCTGCCCACAGTGGCCAATTCCAGGTGCGCCAGAGGAAGGGAACACAACAGGTAAGCCTCACCTGTCACCCACCTCCAGAGAAACAGAGGCCGGGACACCATTCCTACCCATCCTGGCCAACAGCCATTGATGGACCTAACCTCTGTGAATCTATCCAGCTCTTTTTTGAACCCTGTTAAAGTCCTCGCCTTCCCCACATCCTCTGGCGAGGAGTTCCACAGGTCGACTGTGCGCTGAGTGAAGAAAAAATTTCCTTCTGTTTGTTTTAAACCTGCTGCCTATTCATTTCATTTGGTGACCCCTAGTTCTTATAGTGTGGGAATAAGTAACTAACTTTTCCTTATTCACTTTCTCCACACCACTCATGATTTGAGAGACCTCTATCCTATCCCCCCTTAGTCTCCTAAGTTGAGGAGCAGACTGCCAATGCCCCATTCACCTGAATGCCTTCCAGTAGCCCCCGGCAACGTGGGCTGACCCAGGCTCGGGGGCCACTCGGAGCCACCCAAGCAGGGGTGGCCCGTCCATATAGGCGAACTAGGCGGTTGCCTAGGGCGCCAAGCTAACTGGGGCGCCAGATGGTGGCACAATATCTTTGAAGGGCTTGGAAGGGGGGTGCTGATTGCATGGTTTGCCAAGGGCACCCGTTGCTGGCAGCTAGTCTAGGGCCACCCCTGCACCCAAGTGCCCAGTCGGGGGGACATGCAGCCTGAAGAGACACTGGCCCTGTTGGGCCCTTGCACCTGGCACCTGGCCTGCATTCCCGGCAAGCGCGGCAGGGACAAAGATGGCCCCCGCGGAGCCGTTTCCCGGTGGAAACATGCTGAGTTGAGGAACTGAAAACCTGGCGGGGAGCTGTAGCAGCCTGGCCGGCATTCACTGGAAATTAGCTACATGTCTGGTCTCACCTTCACCCTTTGGACTTTGCTATTATAATTAAGGTTTACCCGGCGTGGCTCAGTCCCTAACACGGTCCGCTTGTGGGCTTCGGAAAATAAAATGGAACGGTCCCTGCTCCGTGTGAATCCCTGCTCTGGGGTGGGGTGGGGGAGGAGGGTTCAGGGTGCAGGCGTCCCGAGGGAGAGAGGACAGCCCCAGCCCTTTCTCACCGCAGCAGCTCGGGGCCAGGTGAGAAGCATCTCTCCATGGCTGCTGCAGCTCCACCAGGCCCAGCCGAGGGAGGGGTGCATGTCCCGTCCAGGTCCGTCTGCTCCCTGTGCTCCCCAGCCAGTGAGGAATGCAGCAAACTCGGCACTTTCTCCTTCCTCCCTGACAACCAGCAGTGTCCCTGTATGAACTGTGGGTTTAGGGGAGGAGCTTCGCCCCCCCTGCCCTTCAAGCACATCTGGGGGGTGGCAGGCTCGGGGCTGGGGCAGTCCTGGACAGGTAGGGGAGCCAGCCAGCCCCTTTCGCCCGCCTAGTGATTCTGTCTCTTTTCTGTTTGGTTTTCTGAGAAGCAATCCCATTCCAGGCACATCCCATTGGCCTGGCACAACCAGACCCTGACCTTGCTGTAAGTAGTGAAAGAGGAAGCTACATACCGAGTTTGGCAGTCCTAGCTCTCACTGTTTAGAAGGAGTTCTTGAACAAACAGACTCCCAGACAGACAGACAGACAAA